GAGAGAACAATCATGGGAGAAGGAAGGGCTGCTTATGCACAGGGAGATAGCTCAGGGTGCAGAAGAGTATGAAGGGATAATAAAAAAAAAAAAAAAAATTTAATTTTACTTGGAGCCACAATCAACGCCCATAGAAATGTTGCTGTTGTTAGGTGCCATCGAGTTGGCTCCAACTCATAGCAAACCTATGTACAACAGAACGAAACACTGCCTGGTCCTGTGCCAGCCTCACAATCCTTACTATACCTGAGCCCATTGTTGCAGCCACTGTGTCAATTCATCTCGTTGGGGGCCTTCCTCTTTTTCACTGACCCTCCACTTTATCAAGCATATATATCCTTCTCTAGGGAAGGGTCCCTTTGACAGCATGAGCAAAGTAGGTGAGACAAAGTCTGGGCATTCTTGCTTCCAAGGAGCATTCTGGCTGCACTTCTTCCAGGATAGATTTGTTAGTTCTTTTGACAGTCCATGGTACTTTCAGTATTCTTTGTCAACACTACACCTCAAAAGCATCAACTCTTCTTCAGTCTCCTTTATTCATTGTCCAGCTCTCACATGCATATAAGGTGAATGAAAATACCATGGCTTGGGTTAGGCACACCTTAGTCTTCAAAGAGACATCTTTGCTCTTCAATACTTTAAAGAGGTCTTTTGCAGCAGATGTGCCCAGTGCAATACATGGGCAGATGTCTTGACTGCTGCTTCCATTGGTGTTGACTGTAGAACCAAGTAATATGAAATCTTTGACAACTTCAATCTTTTCTCCATTTTGCCCATGGAAATACCAGTCAAGACATCAAACGACATATTGCACTGGGCAAATCTGCTGCAAAAGATCTCTTTAAAGTGCTAAAAAGCAAGTCACTTTGAGGACTAAAGTGCACCTGACAGGCTGTGGTATTTTCAATTACGTCATATGTATGCGAAAGCTGGACAACGAATAAGGAAGACCAAAGATGAATTGATGCTTTTGAATTATTGTGTTGGCAAATAATATTGGATATAGCATGGGCTGTCAGAAGAATGAACAGATCTATCACAAAAGAAGTACAGCCAGAATACTCTTGAAAAGCAGCAAGTGGGGGAGACTTTGTCTCACTTACTTTGGACATGTTATCAGGAGGGACCAATCCCTGAAGAAGGACATCATGCTTGGTAAAGTAGAAGGTCAGTGAAGAAGGGGAAGGCCTTTAATGAGATGGATTGAAACAGTGGCTGCAACAATGGGCTCAAACATTGCAAAATTTATGAGGATGATGCAGGATTGGGCATTGTTTTATACTATTGTACAAAGGGTCACTATGAGTTAGAATTGACTTGATGGCACCTCTTGTAGTTAAGGTTGTGTGTCAACTTGGCTAGGCCTTGGTTTTTGAGTGGCTAGGCAGGTAGATGCAGTTGTTCTTCATGCTGAGTACAATCAACTCCATGGTAGATTCTATTGTGAGCAGCTAATTAGCTGCCTTCAAGGTGTGACGTGCTTCCAGTGTATATGGGGAAGCTTTGATGAAGGTCTCTAGTTTTTGGCACATCTTGATCCTGTATTTGACTGAGTCTTCATCTCAATGGCCTGCCATGTTGCCTGCCGATCTTGGGATTGTTCCTGGATTTGAACCAGTGATCTGCCAAGTTGCCTCCTACCTTGGGATTGAGTCATTTTACCTGTAGATCTTGGGTTCATCAGCCTCAGCAGCCAGCAGCTGCATGACTCAGAAAAAGCCTCTGGCTCTACTGGGCCTGAAACAGGAGGCAAAGCTGAAGCCCAAGGTCTAGGGGCCTTCATCTAGCCCCTAAAGCCAGAACTTGAACTCGGATTTCTAGCTTCTAAACTGTAAGAGAATAAACCTCTGTTTGTTAAAGCCATCCACTTGTGGTACTTCTGTTACAGCAGCACTAGAGAACCCAGACAACACCTAACAATAACAACAACAACAAATAAATGGAAAAGTATCCTGTGTTGACAGATTAATTGGAGGACTTAATATTGTTAAGATGGCAGTATTCCACAAATTGATCTATAGAGTCAATACAATCCCTGTGAAAATCACAGCTGGCTTCTTTGTATAAATTGGCAAGCTAATCCTAAAACTCCTATGAAAATGCAAGAGTTCCAAAATAGCCAAAACCATCTGAAGCAGAGTAAAGTTGGAAGACTCACAATTCCTGATTTCAAAACTTACCAAAAGTTACAATAATCAAGGTGATATAGTACTGGCAAAAGGATAAACATATAATCAATGGAACAGAACTGAGAATCCAGAAATAAATTCTCACACTTACGATCAACTGTTTTTCAACAAAGTTGCTAAGAAAATTCAGTGGGGGAAAATAGTCTTTTCAACAAACTTTGCTAAGACAACTGGATATCCACATGCAAAAGAATGAGGTTGGTCTCCTGCTATATACTATATACAAAAATTAACTTAAAATGAAAGACCTGAATTTAAAAGCTAAACTCATAGATGAAGACATAGGGGCAAATCTTTATGATGGTGAATATGGCAAAGTTTCTTAGATCTAACACCAAAAGCATAGGCAAGAAAAGACAAAATAGTAAATTAGACTTCATTAACATTTCTGTGCATTAAGGTACACTACCATGAGAGTTAAAAGTTGGTCACAGAATGTGAGAAAATACTTGCAAACCAAGGTTCTATTATCCAGTCTCTATATATAACATATATAGAGAGAGACTGGATGTAAAAACCAAACTCACTGCTGTCAAGTAGATTTCAACTCATAGCGACCCCTC